GACGACCTCTTTTGCTGGAACACACATTGACAACGTGTGCAACTGACTGCAGCAGAGATTTAACTTCTTAAGGTGACTGAGACTGAGTGGAGAGAGCAGCCAGATCACGCTGTGTTTAACTGCACAATCCTACAGAGCAGCATTAGATATGGAATCACACCTTCTTAATCTTAGTGCAATAAATACACCAGCACCTTCATTTATAGTTTCTTCAACTGCTGTACTGTCAGTGTTATGTTTTAAGATGCAGCAGCAGGTTGTAGCACTGTGCCCAGTCTTTGTGCACGAGGGGGACGTGGTCATGTTGAAACAAAGCCACAATAACCTTCTTCTGTTATCTTATTTTATCTTGTAATCTTGAACCCAAACAGGTTTAATAAAACCTCTCTGCTGCTCCATTCATTCCCTCTGAGCTTTTTTTTAAACAAAGGTTTCTTATACTTATATATAGATTTTTTTGGATGCTTAATAAGAGGCTCCACTTTGATATCATGCATGCATTTTCACTATTTCAAGCCATATTTCCAGAAGCTTTAAGGTTTCCCTTTATTGAAACTAAAGGCCCAAACCAGGAATCATAAAACAGTGACAGTGAGTTCAAAGACTTTAAATATCAGAAAGTAAAACGCAGAACTACCGGTTGCAGAATCAGTTTTCCCTGCACAGGTTGAGGGAATTTACTTTATATTACGTGGTCTATCTGAAGTTGTTTGATGGGTTTTTTCAGCTGAACTTATGTCAGCTAAAAAACTGAAAATTTCATATAAAAAAAGCCTAAAAGTGCTTCATCTTGCAACATTAGCTGCCGCCCTCCCTCAGCGACACTTTCCACAAGACTGGTGGGAACCTACCTGTGTGTGTGTGTGTGTGTGTGTGTGTGTGTGTGACTAACAGTGAGTTGTTTCCCTGAAATGAACCTCTGTGGTTTCACTGCTAACACTCAGCACTCTGTTTTTCCATCCGCAACAAACACGCACAAACGTACACACAGTTTAGGCAGCAGACTACTACAACCTCACACAAACTGATCCGGGAGATGTTTCAGGTCACTCAGATCAACTGTTTCGATGTGCAGGTGGACAGTGTTTAATTTGATTTTATTATGATGATTGACACAAGTAAAAACTGAAATATTGGCAACAAATCAGCCTGATTTTAAGGCCTGATGTACAGACGGGTGAAATAAAGGAAACGCCTGAATTAATGAGTGAAGGAACAAAGTTCACTGCATGCTACAACTATCCAATCATGTTCCTGGCATTAATGAAATACTGAGCCGATAAAGTCACCTGCAAACGGCGAGCCAGCTGGAGTCTGGATGAAGTAAGCCGACAATATTCTGCTATAAACGCCATTTATAAGCTAACGTTAGGTAGTGTTGCACGCTGTCGGTTCTGTAGTGGAGCGGAGAGAGAAGCTGCGTAAACACCACATCCTTTAGATTTTTGTGGAAACTTTGACTTCTTGACTTTGACAGTTGAGGAAAAAGAGAAGTCTCATTTCAAATTATTGGCAATAAAAAGCGATTAATACATAAAATGCTTCAGAATCTAAATAAATAAATGTAAATATAGTGTATTATGTAGTAAATAGAGACTTTTCATTACTAATTTTAATTGAATTTGTTGCTAAGAGGGCCACAACTATTACTTTTCATTATTGATTACCCTGCTGATTATTCTCTCGATTAAAAAATGACAGATTTTTTAAAAACGACATATTTATGAGGTGTTTTTAAACATTTACAGCTTCAGTAGAATATATCTGATATCTAACTTCCCATCTGACGCTACACGAGACTGAACCCTGACCTGAAGGGCCTCGCTGTCCGGGGCTCCGCCTTCCTCCGGGATCCTGTAGAGAGGAGAACGAAAGCTGGACTGATACTCTGTCAACATCCTGTCAGACAGACAGACGACGTCATAAACGTAATGAATTCACAGATACACAATGACACACACACACACACACACACACACACAGAAACACACCTGGGTCCTCTCTGCACCTGAGGAGGAGGAGGGGGCGTGGCATCATCTGGTTCGGGGTGGAGCTTCTTCTCTGACTCCTCCCTCCTCTTTTTATTGGCCTGAAGATGAAAACAGCTCAGTCAGGACTTAAAGGAGAATCTATTCCATCTATAAATGTAATATAATGTTCACAGGTACGTTTTTATTTATTATATAGTGTAACATCACCTGAACTTTAGAATGAGTCGTTTTTATTTACAGACACCCCAGGCCCAACATAGATAGTGCCTTATTAGTGCCCTATTTGTGC